TTATGAAATTAAAAAAAAAAAGATAAAAAGAAAATGGTATCTAACAACCCCCAAGTGAGAAAGCCGCAGGCAACAATGGCAAGAACAAAAATCCCTAGGATGTTTAAGTAGACGAGGAAGTAATTTGAGCTGTAATTTTCAGTCAGAGCAGCAAAGGTCTTTAACATTGAGTGTGTTTACATAGTGTGCAGTATACAAATATTAAAATCAACGTATTCAAACCAAAAAACACAAGACGACGACATTGAAATTAATTTTTTCTTTAGTTTTGATATAGCGAATAAGAAAAAAAGTGTGCCAACTGGGTTTTGTTAATACAGTTTATGACCTTTCCTTCATATTAAAAATATGTATGTCTGATCTGACACATCTGTACATAAACCAACAATTAAAAATACCGCTCCATCTCCACCTCCGAACCCCCTTAATATTGCACAGATATAACAACTAAATACTACATTTCTCAAATGGACCAAAATGCACTTGCCTATTTTGGTGAGTGTGTGTTGTTTTGGAGTGCGTGTTGAAAAATCGGTGGTTGCCAAATTCAGGTGCATGTGATCATTACCAGTTTACCATGCTCTGATCTTTCGCCAGCATGAAGTCAACCCAGGTCTCTCTAGACAGGCTGAAGAACTGTAGCGTAAAGCTCTAGATTTATAGGACATTTTACAATCACAGAAGCATATCTGACGTCAACGCATTCTGACGGTTGGCAGAGAACAGTGGAACCGTCGAGTCGTATTCAGCGTGGCTTTATGCCCAGCAGGTTTTAAATTAAGAAGAATGTTGAAGTTATGAGGTGGTGCCAAAAGCCCTTTCGACGGTCTGTTTGAGCGCAAGCAGAGTAAGATAAACACTGAGTGCTTGTGAGAAGCTCCTTCAATCTGCTCTCGTGTTTAGCCGCTAATATGTTTGGGTTTGATCATGGGCACGGCAGGCGCCGTTTGATGAATCGCAGGCTGCAGAGCGAAGCGGAGAAGGCATTGATTTCCCCAGTGCCAGTTCTTTTACCTCCCTCTCTCCTAGCATTGCTGTTCTCTGTGAGGGGTTTCGGAATCCTTGGAGCTGATTTAGAGGAACCGGAGAGTGCAGAGTATTCCAGCTGTCAAGCTCTAGTGCCAGATCGGCCGTCTGAGATAATTAGCCTTGTCACAATACCAGAATTTCTATAGTTAATGCCAGTGAAATTTCTCAATTATCAACTCCAATTTTAATACAACACCAAAAACTTGATGCTAATGGACACATTTGACCTTTATTTAAAAGGTATAAATGCTGTACATTGCTGTTGAGAAGTTTGGAGTCAGCAAGATTTTTTAAAGAAATTATTACTTTTATTCAGCAAGGACACATTAAACTGCTGTTAAAAATTGTGGGATTGGTAAGATTTTTAATGCTCAATTTTTAATGCTTATGCTCAACAAGGCTGTATTTATTTGATCACAAATACAGAAAAAACAATTGCAATTTCTAATTTTGGTTTCCTATTTTAATATACTTTAAAATATGATTTATTTCTGTGACGCAGTGCTGAATTTTCATCAGCCATTACTCCAGGCTTCAATGTCAATCATTCTAATATGCTGATTTATTACCTAATATGTTGAAACTGTTATGCTTAATATTTTTTTGGGAACCTGTGATACTTTTTTCTTTGATTGTTTGATGAATAAATAGTTTAAAAGAACAGTGTTTATTCAAACTAGAAATCTTTTCTAACAATATTAATAATATGTCTTTACTATCACTTTTTATCAATTTAACACATCCTTGCTGAATAAAAGTATTAATGTCTTTAAAAAAAAAAAAGAAAGAAAGGGAAAAAAATGATTGACCCCAAGTTTTGAATAGTATATTGTAACACAAAATTTCTAATTTGAATAAACACTGTTCTTTTTAACTTTTTATTTATCAAAGAATCCTGAAAAAAGTATCACAGGTCCCCAAAAATATTAAGAAGCACAACTGTTTCCAACATTGACTATAAATCAGCTTATTAGAATGATTTCTGGAGGATCATGTGACACTGAAGACTGTAGTAATGATGCTGAAAATTCAGCTTTGCTTCACCGGAATAAATTATATGTTAAAGTATATTAAAATGGAAAACTGTTATTTTAAATTACAATAATATTTCACAAAATTACAGTTACAGAAATTACAGAAACTTATTTAAAAAACATTAAAAAATTTCAAAATGGCCGCTGTGTGAAATCAGAGAATCATGGGAAGGAAAAAAAGTTTCTTTATGTGAAATATAATTATAAAACACTTTCTTTTGATTTTGGGATGATATATAACCTATTTTGCTGAAGAAAAAAAGCTTAATCCATCTGAAGCTAGTTTGATGGCCTTAGCTGGTTTTAGCTGGTTTAAGCTGGCTTATATGGCCTAGCAAATCAGACCAGCCTGACCAGGTTGAGAGACCAGCTTACACCAGCAAACCAGTTTGGGCTAGTTTAAGCTGTTTCTTTTAGCCATGCAATCATGTGACAGGTTTCAGGATTAGACAAAACCTTTCCTATCTACATCTCCCTCTTTTCTTGACTTTATTTACTGTCGGGGTCTTCCAGCAGATTGTCTGTTGTACCTGTGCAGGTATCATGTGTCTGTGTGCTCCTGGTGTATTTTAGCACAAGTCCTGTGTGCTGTCCAAACAATCAGTAGTCTTTAGATGCATTTAGACCCCCGCTATGTACACATTGCTCTCCACACCTGTCCTTTTCGGCTGTCATCCTCTCAGTTCTTCCACGGGATTTATTATTAGCTCAGAGCTTTTAGCAAAAAAGTGTCTCGCTTCTGTCACTTATCAGAACCTGTTGAAAAAGTCAGAGTGCCAGACTGCTAAGCCTTTTTAAAGGAATAGTTCAACCAAAAATTAATATTCTGTCATCATTTACTCACCCTCATTTCTTTTCAAACCCATATGCTGTTTTTTTCCTTTGAACACAAAAGGGGAATTTTGAAGAAGACATTTTCCATTAAGTTCATAGCGAAGATGTCTTGTCAAGCCTCAAAAAGGACAAAAAAAGTATGGAAGCTTGTTTCTGCGTCAGTGTCAAAAAAAAATTTCTTAACTCACATGTGATTTCATAATTGTGACTTTGTATCATATGAGACTTTATTAGATAAACTGCAATGTTTTATCTCACAATTGCAAGCTTTATTTCATATAATGAGACTATTTATCTCGTTTTTTGTGAATTTATATCATATAATGTGACTATATTGCATGATTCTAGCTGTGTATTGTAAAATTGCAACTTAATAATTGACATCTTTAACTTTTTAACTTCACAACTGTTCATTGTACAATGTGACTGTATTGTACGATTGTGACTTCATATTGCACAATGTGGCTAAATATTATATAATTGTAGTTTTATGTTATACAATTGCAACTTTATCTCACAATATGACTTTAAATTGCAACTTCACACATTTCACACAACTTCACAAATTTCACACATTTATTTCACATTTTATATTGTGAAATTGCTAAATTATATCTCACACAACTTTTATATTGTACAATGACACTTTATATCACATTTACATTTCACAATTTCTGCTTTTTATGACACTTTATATTTTTGTTTTCGACTTTGCCACAATTACCTGTGTAATGTTTTACTCTGTGGTGGAAACAGGTTTACTTTAAAATAAAAAAAGCAATACAATTCTCATTTTGTGTTCAACAGAAAAAATATTAGCCAGCCCACAGGTTTGGAAAAAAATTTTGGGGGGAAATATTACTTTAGCCAACACATCGGCTATTGTGTGCATATTGATTGCTTGTTTAATGCCAGTATTCTTGTATCTAGAGGCAGATTGGAAAGCACTGTGAAATGTAGTTTCTGTGCAGAATAGTCCATATTCAGTTGTTCAAAATGACCTATTCTGCTGAATTGTTGTGTTATGTGTTTTCTAGCGTGCATCTATATCACTGATGTTGTTTCTGCTTATCAGCTCTTTTATCCTCTGCAGTGCAGCCACTCGGTCAATATTAAAACTGCTATCACAATGAAAAGTTGCAAAAATGGGGAACGATTGCCCTGGAGGCAAGGCTGACTGCGTGCAGAAGAGCGGTTGCCTGCAGCTCTCGTCTTCGGGTTGACCAGAATTTGAACCTTCGTTGTTCAGACTCTTTGATTAGTCTCTCTTGGAGACAGAGCACTGATGGAAGTGGGCGGACCGTGACGTTCCTTCAGCCCTGACCTTTCAACCCCCTATACTGCTTTACCTAAATGAACATGGGGCCTCATTGCCATGACAACCTTACCAGGCATTAATAAAGGGCTCTGCAACCTTTAAGTACTAAGTTTTGCTCAACACTCTGAGAAATCAATTCATGCACCATTCAGACTATTATTGCACAAACATACCATTCGTTTCACAATGCCAACCGTTTCTGCTCTCCAATCTACGATCGACTGTTGCTGATTGTCAGCGCTTATCTGCGTAAGACAGTAGGATGTTTACGGCACTCGTCGGCACAAGTGACAAACAGCGCTGTCGTGTCGGCAACGGAATGATGCAGTGCAATCTATCATTCCAGATGACAATGTTCAACTTCCATGTCTGTCATTTTATTCCGTGCCTAAACGCACACGCTAACACACAGACAATTACGAATACATGCACTTCCCATGAGAGAATTCCAGACTGGTTATGTGTAGAAAAACCACCGCGTGAACATAATTCATTGGTGCTGCTGCGTTGAGTCATGCCTTTTGTGCTTTCAGAATCTGCGAACACGTCTAATTTCAAATTAAGATGCATAACGTGCACGTCTTGGGAATAATCAAAACAAGACCTCAGCTGCCTATCCTCCCTCCCATTTCTTGTTGCTCTGTTTCAGAGTTGAGATAATGCCCTTATGTTTGTGTACGTGCGCGTGTCGCATTTGACAGTCATTTCTGCCGATGCTTCACAGCCACTCTGTTTGATACCAACCCTCCATCTAAAACAGGATGTTCTTGTCTTGTATTTTCCAGGGAGCTGTGTGGAGACGGTTATAGGTCTGTACGGTGAGACCATTGAAGTGCCATGCAACAATGGAAATAACAAGCCAGATGGCCTTATTTTCACCAAATGGAAATATGTGAGTGTTTCTCTGAGCATCTGGGCTGTTACTCTACCCTGCTAGCCAGTCTGGGTAGCCAAGCAATATACAGCTACTCTCATCCTCATATTGATTTCTAATTTAATCACTATAGGTGCAAAATGTGTGTTTGTCGGTTTGCTAACGGCCCTGTTATCTCGTTCAGGTGAAAGATGACGGCTCTCCCGGCGATCTTCTCGTGAAGCAGGCTCAGAAAGATGAGGCGACTGTATCCGCCACAGACGGCTACAAAAGTAGAGTTAGCATCGCCGCCAACTCCAGCCTCCTGATCGCCCGAGGCTCACTGGCCGACCAGAGAGTTTTCACCTGCATGGTGGTGTCTTTAACCAACTTAGAGGAACACTCTGTGGAAGTGAAAGTTCACAGTGAGTATTAATAAAACACACACACGCACAACATATTAATAAATAAGAGCAAATCAGAGAGGAGAACAGGAAAAATCAAGCACAGCTTCAGTCTATGATGAAACCGAATGTAAGCATCAGATCTCAAATTGGACTGGAAAAGGGGTGTAGAGATGTCAGATATGGGAGAGAATAACATGGGTGATCCACTTTTGTAGCCTTGATCTAGTTGCATGCTTTTAGATGGATACCAGAGAAATGATATTGATAGTGTGCACAGTGTTCTACCATAGATCAGAAAGATTGGCTGTGCTTGGGAATGGATTGTGCATACTAAGCAATATATATATATATAATTTTTTTTTTACTTTACACATTTTTAAAACATAAAAACATATCAGTGAGTGAGTGGCCAATATTGTGTCAAAAAATAATTTGAACTTTTGTCCAATCAAAAATGAGTCAGAGGTTTTCTAGTGCATTCATCACAATGGAAATGGAGGGCCAAGTGGAGGATACAGTATTAGTCACAGTGTACTCAGGTTGTAACTATAATGGATATTTTGGCAAACAAAGTGCTGTAGGTGGTCTGGGTAGTTGACAGCTCAAGCACTTTGTTATATATGTATAAACTTAGCATATATACTAAAACATTTTAAATATATATAAAATATATGTACTTTCATTTTCTTTGTAGAATCCATAGAAATGAAATGTCCAAGACAACTAAAATCTAACTACCCACATTCTATGCATAGAAGCATTTTGTCAGCAGCATTCATACTGTATACTGCTGTATGCACAGGATGAAACATATCAGTGAGTGAGTGGCATACAGTTATCATTTAAGTAAATCCAGTTGTAATCCAATATTGTGTCAAAAAATAATTTGAACTTTTGTCCAATCAAAAATGAGTCAGAGGTTTTCTAGTGCATTCATCACAATGGAAATGGAGGGCCAAGTGGAGGATACAGTATTAGTCACAGTGTACTCAGGTTGTAACTATAATGGATATTTTGGCAAACAAAGTGCTGTAGGTGGTCTGGGTAGTTGACAGCTCAAGCACTTTGTTATATATGTATAAACTTAGCATATATACTAAAACATTTTAAATATATATAAAATATATGTACTTTCATTTTCTTTGTAGAATCCATAGAAATGAAATGTCCAAGACAACTAAAATCTAACTACCCACATTCTATGCATAGAAGCATTTTGTCAGCAGCATTCATACTGTATACTGCTGTATGCACAGGATGCTGATATGCTTTATCAAACATACCTACATACTTTTTGATATCTTATCTCTTATTTCAGAAAAACCATCAGCCCCTGTAATCAAAAACAATGCGAAAGAACTGGAAAACGGCAAACTGACGCAGGTGAGTCACGCTCTTTATGCACTTCGCTTTAAGACCCAGAGCTTCAGCTGCTGCTGCTGTTGTTGTCTCCCGTATCCAGTGTTTGCTCCAGTACACAAACCAGCCAGTGTACTAACAATGTGCAGGATCAAACCCTGTGCCTTTGTTTTCATTACCCAGCATGCCTCTCCAGTAGTCTCAACATTGACACACACCTGCTGTTATCACAGTCAGAGGCGGCTCAAAGACAGCGCTAATGATATGGACATCAGCGAACGCGTCTGTGGGGCGTACACACCTGATTTAGGCAGTGCTCGAGCAATTGTCACCCACGGCTACACAGGAAACAACCATTTTTATGTTGTCTAGAGTTTGCATCTCAAAAGCAGGACGGCAGTAATATTATTCGGTTGCATGAGAACAGGAAGGAGCTTTGATTTGAACTACTTGGAGCACATACAAGGCTTCCCACGCAGTCCTTATGACTGGTGTTTGTAAATGGAGCTGGGGGTCGTTATTTTTCATTTCCTCCCTCTATCGCTCTCTCTTTTTAATGTAGTTCAGAGGCGCTGGGATCTTAGAGTCTGGCTGAGGCGGAGGTGTGGGGTGGGGAAGGCTGGGGTTGTGTATACAGCATTATGGGTCTTTTTTTTTCCGTGGCCACCCACCGAGGTCTGTCGTGTTCAAAGTGTCGAGACTTACTTAGACAGAGAAAGGGGAAGAGCATGGAAGAAAGAGCGCCTCCTCTGAATATAGAACATTTAATACAGTTGAAATGCAGGGTGACTGAAGGTCTCTGGAAAGAGAAAATTAGAAAGAGAGGGGTGAGTACATTTAAATAGGTGTGCCGCATTTCAGGCTGTACATGGATTGTATTGAGAGGTTTGTGTACGTTTTTTAGTGATCATCGCAGCAGTTATTCTTGGAAGGTGAAGGAGAGTCATATTGCTAATCAAAACTGGTTCTTTAGAATGTTTTGGGATTTATAGTATGAATTCTGAAGTCTGGATTGCAGAGATGTAGCTGTTCTGTACAGCCACGGAAAATCATGTGAATCAGAAACATAGTAGTAGTCTGTTTCTCCAACTAATGACCTGTTATGAGCCTGTTCTTTTAGTTTTTTTAGCATGATTTTTACTAAACATCTCATTACTAAACATGTTTTTGACTAAACATCTCACTAGAAGAGCCAGCTCATAAGAGATCATTCATTGGGTAATCAGACTGTAGTGGTCATGCTGTGTAGCTTGTTTTGCACTCGGATGACTTTTATAATTTGGTTCTTTTAGTCAAAAAAGATGCTAAAAATAGCTTGTCACACTGTGTTTTTGATTGTCTAAAACAATTGAGTCATATGAGTCATTCATTTGGTTATGCTATAGACCATTTCATGAGCAAATGACTTGTCTTGATTTTTTTGTTTTTGTGAAGCAGAAACATACATCACAACCAGTATAGTCTAACTGATTCTCAAAAGAATGACTCTTCTTTTCGGTGAATCAAAAACACAGCGTGACTGGTGTAATCTGATTCAGGAATAAATTATTCTTTTGAGACATTTTTTTGTGTGTGAATCAAAAACATATTGGGTGACTAGTGTAGTTTGATTCTCAGATAAATTACTTTTAAGACTTAGTTCTTTTTAAGCAATCAAACCTATACACTGAAACCAGTAGTCCAACCGATTCATGAACTAACGACTTAATGATTTAAGGCTCATGAAACGTAAATCAGGGTGGTTACTGACTGGTTGTTCATATGACATCATGTAGTAATTATTATTTGAGTTTATATAAGATTACATGTTTTGTCAGTAGTATATTATTAAAAATAATGAAATTAAATATATTATAACATAACACATATATTCTAATTTTTGTTTGTTTAAATATATTTCTTATATTTTAGATTACATTTTTTATGTACATGTTTTTTTTTTTGTCGCTAAGGCCATTGTTGAAATTTTATTAATGCCGCATCTAAAATAACATTTTGCCAAATTAACAATTCTTGTGCCACAGAGTTGTTATTGTTAACTAAAACTGAAACTTTAAAAGTTGTTTTATTTAATTGATATAAAGCTAAAATAAAATAAATTATAAATATTAGATGAAAAAGTTAAACAATAAATTGACAATTAAATGAAATAAGTTTAAATTTGACTACTAAAATAAAAAAATAAATAAAATGGAATTAAAAAATAAATTAAAGCTAAAAAAAAAAAGACAAATCACACTAAACTAGTAAAACGTAAACTAAAATTAAAAATAAAACTGGAAATCTAAAAATAAAAGCTAATTCAAAATAATAATAAATACTATAATAATAGTATATGTGACCCTGGACCACAAAACCAGTCATAAGTAGCACAGGTATATTTGTAGCAATAACCAACAATACGTTGAATGGGTCAAAATTATCAATTTTTCTTTTATGCCAAAAATCAGGATATTAAGTAAAGATCATGTTCCATGAAGATATTTAGTAAATTTCCTACCGTAAATATATCAAAACTACATTTTTGATTAGTAATATGCATTGCTAAGAACTTCATTTGGACAACTTTAAAGGCGATTTTCTCAATATTTAGATTTTTTGCATCCTCAGATTCCAGGTTTTTATACATAGTTGTATCTCAGCCAAATATTGTCCTATCCTAACAAACCATACACCAATGGAAAGCTTATTTATCCAGCT